AAGCGGTTAAAGCTTTGTTTTGGTTCGAAATTTGGAACGGTTCTAGGATTGCGCAGAACTGCTTGCGCACAAAAAAATAATAGAGGACTGTTCTAATACTAGTTCTGAACCGATTCGGAACCAAAAAAACCAAAACACAAAGATCTAAAACAGTTCCTCCTTCGGAGCAAGAACTGAGAGAACCGTTCTAGAACAATCCCAGAATTGTTCTTAAAAAGTTCTAGATAAACCAAAACACTCTTAACATAGTTCGATTACGATTCTGAAAAAACCAAAACGCATTTATAATTTGCGCATGTGCAGAATGATTCCGAACTAGTTCTGAGTGAAACCAAAACAAAGCTTATCATCGGCGTATCCAAAGTAGGTGAAGCCCTGATCGGTCAGTGTATTTAAGAGATCATCGGTCACTAGACTTCCCATCAAAGGCGAAAATATCTCTCCTTGTCGAGATCCTCTAGTTATGATGAGTGGTGAATTGTATGGCAGGGCCGTAGCCAGGGGGGGGTATTGGGGGGCAATGCCCTATCTTTCAAAGGATCATGCCCTACTTTTAAAACACAACATATGCGTTAAGGTTTCTCTGGGATATCCAGAAGTAGATAATGAATTGGCCTGAAATCGAGTAACTGCAAGGTTTCCGAAAACTTCTAAATGTATGCAACAATGTTTGACGTGAAGTTTTTCGTGTCGAAAGAGCGCGAATGCAAGGATAATATACACACTATTACACAGGATTGCTTATCGGCCTCGTTTGTGTAAATCGCGGCCATATGGTGTAACAACATTGACGACATCAGCTTTGTTCCAACACGTCTAGAAACCGTCACGATTCTGCGCAAAGCCAAAAATTTGTACGTAGAACCCAAAATTCGATTACGGAGTGGTTTCGAAACCATTGATGGGACGTCGTTAGTTGTTTGCGCCAGCGGTCGTAGTTTAGAAAGAAAGAAAACTATGAATAAAATGAATGATGGTAGAAATGGTCCAGGAGATTATTATGGATTATTTTTCTTCCACATACTTTTGGTGACGATGGTACATTTATGATGAAAAATGGTATTTAATTTCGATTAATATAATAGAGAACAAGAACTGTATAAAAGAAATAATAGACAAAGAGGAAGATGCAAACGAGATCTAGCGTTATTTTAGAATGTTAATTAATGTACTAAAACCAAGTATGTATAAAGCACAAGCCCGCGGAATCATAACCTATGGTGCAAACCCCCTACGTAAAGGCAAGAAACGACACGCTGCCTACGTCATCACTGGTTCTTTGGCGTGGTGGGGGGCTTAAGATTTGATCTAACAGGCCTTATGAGGATAAGCTATCCTGTAGTAGTACTTAGTGCGTATTATCCTTGGTGCGAATGGTTCAAGACGTCATCACTGGTTCTTTGGCGTGGTGGGGGGCTTGAGATTTGATCTAACAGGCCTTATGAGGATAAGCTATCCTGTAGTAGTACCTAGTGTGTATTATCCTTGGTGCGAATGGTTCAAGGCCACGCGAGTCGCGAGAATCAGCGCAATTTCGTTTACTTGCCAGATATGTTATTTATTGAAAAATTTGCTTTCGGCGCCATTACCCCCATTTTGTTTACCAATAAAAAATTTAATGGTGGGGGAGGGAAAGTAGTGCATGCCCTATGTCAAATTTGTCATGCCCTATCACAAATTTGACTCTAGCTACTCACTTCAGTTTCCAGGGGCGGATGGGGCCCCTTAGACCGGCGCGGGAAGTCGATTGAAACCGTGCCGCGCCTGTCCAGCAAAAAGAAGTAAAAAGCACAAGCGATCGACTCCTGCGCATACCCTTCTCTCTTCTCTTGAGTTGAATAAAGACAAGACGAGGAAATTACTCTATTTGCCGATAATCGGAGCCGCGTCACTTGCAGGTTGCAGGTCAGTTCTCACAGAAATCACAAACCACTAACCAGTCACATAGCGGTTTTGATCATACCTACATGCAATCTGGAATAATGAAAAGAGGCAGACAAACGCGAAGATACCTCAAAACGGAATATAGCAAGCAATGCAATTTTCCTTAAAACATCAGGAATGGTATGGGCGCTTACGGCATGCATGCTTATGATTTACAGAGTTCCAGAGTTGGAAAGTTGCCAAATGCTAAATCAATTAAAAAATTAGCTATATGGCTTCTTTGCTTTTTCAATCATTTTCGAACTTCCCGAGCGAGGCGCCAATCGGCGCCTGAAGGACCGGCTCACCGGGAAATCCCCTGGCATCCCGGTGGGCCCATTCGCCCCTGCTCAAAGGATTTAGATATGGGTTTTAGATGCGGCACTGCATATTTTTCTACAATAAATTCTGAGATGATCAAAAATTACCCACATACTGTATTTTCGACCTACTCTTAAGATTTTCACAGAAAGGACCCCGCACAAACCTCACGGAAAATGGCTTTCTGTCAAATTGGCTGAATTTTTGAAATTGGGTAGATTTCGATATTGCGATTAAAAGTTTTCATTGCGCAAAAATGATTCCATGTACAGTTTTTGAGTAAATGAACTTAAAAAATGGTTTTGAAACACATGTAGCTTTAAGAGGTAGGTGCTCAACGTTATTAATCGATACTGCAATAGCCAAACTGTGGGATAGCGATGTTAAAGTCTAGGATCAGTGGCTAATATCTCAGCCGAGATACATTTTTTTTGTTTCCATTTCCATTTTAGTATCGATTGATAGGGTTAAGCATACCTACCTCATAAGATACATGCGTTTCCAATAGCATCTTTCAAGCCCATTTACTCAAAAACTGTACATGGAATAATTTTTGCGCACGATAACTTTTGATCATAATAACGAAATCTACCTAGTTTCAAAAATTCAGCCAATTTGACAGAAAGTCATTTTCCATAAGGTTTGTGCGGGGTCCTTAACTGTCATAATCAAGTAGTTAATTTGGAATAAGAAACTTAAATAATTTCTCTATATTTTGGATGGTGGTTTGGTGAACCATTATAGGCAAATCTAACTGAACCTTCATTTGATTAAGGAATAGGGATAATACACCACATATCACTGTGGGCTCTTCATTTTTGATATCTTCAGATTGGACGAGCTATCACTGCCAGATTAGAGATAGTCTGGTCAAAATGTAAGTCATATTACCATGCCAAAATACTTGCGACTAATCCTGTTACCGCTAGCTAATACTGCAGTGGGTCTACAGAATAAAGAACTTGCAGAAGTAAAAAATTAACAGCAATACTTTTTAGGCTGTTCATAATCCAAAAGGTTTGGTTTTCTGGTGACTCCCTGAAAAATGGAAAAGCTACATCAGACGTACAAACTACTGGATAATCGAGGCCTGGTAAAAAGAAAAATCAATCAATGCCATCCAGCCAACATTCTCCCAGTTATTTTGTTAGAGTCAAATGAGTTTTGCCATGACATTCTTTGTGTTTTGCAACTGCTTTTCAAGTGTCCCTCTATTTATATTTTCTGCCATTCTGACATTGGCAGTTTTTCAAAAATAAAATTGATGTCTGGTTTCTTGCGTAATTGCGTTTTTTTCTAAGTACTGTACCTTTATTTTGTGAATTTTCAGATAGGTACAAAACCCAAATCTACGGAATTGAGAATAGAATGTTAAGCCATAATTCAAATGTGATTGGTAAGGAGTTCTGGAGAGTTAAAATTAAACACAAATCTAATATAATTATTGATAACATAATTATATGGGGTATAGAAAACAGATTAGGACCGATTATCAGACCTACCGAATATACATATTAAATTTCATAAAAGTCGGTCAAGCCATTTCAGAGGAGTATTGTTACAAACACTGTGACACCAGAATTATATTGAATATAGATTAATTTAATTGTAATGAACCTATGGATGGAAACTCAGATATTTGAATGACAATAATTTGAATAATTTAACAAATCAACACGAGAAATTGAACAAAATAAATTCATAAACGCAATAAAGACCTGCTGGAACAATAAGGAGAATACTCCTGCAAGAAATCCTTAAAGGGGGTGTCACCCTAAAAAACGCGACTTAAGCTACTTGAATCAAGAAAAAATATATAAAGATCTCTCGTGAAAACCGCAGTCCTATATTCAAATAATAGTCTCCGAGAAAATTCCTTGCGAAGATAAATTATGCAGGAACTTGTGACGTCACAACCGCCGAAATCGCAGTCTTCCGTTCGTTCAGTCGACAGTGAACCGTACCCTATACTTTGAGTGGCTGCAATTCGCTCTATAGTGAGATAATTTGACTTTTGTTTTGGAAAATTCTTACACGTGTTGATACTGTGCCTGATAATTCGGTGTGACGTCACAAACACCTAGTTGTAACTTTAAACCACCCTCACTCGAAAACGGATCATCGTAGCAAGATGCGGTTTAATAAATATTTGTTCTCAGATTTTTTTGCATAAAAGTTTCATTTTTGGGTCACACCCCCTTTAAAATCAGAACACAAAATTCCTAATTATTAGAATATTTGAAAAATACGGAACCTATTATAAAGCAATAAAAGCTGAACGTGCTTTGGGATAGAAGACAGTGGCGACAATAGTTGTATTCCTTTCAAGAGCTTGAAGCACTCGAGCTACTCGCTCCGGTGTTCAGTCGCCCCCGATTTGCAGGGAACAGATGCGTGGTGCAACAAACACTTTTCGAAAGATATAGGGGCGTAAAGCCCTGGAGCTGTTCCGGAGCTCCTCCTAGGTGTCAAAGGAATACAACTATTAGGGGTCCCACCGCCATATTCTTGCTGATTTTCAATGAATAATAAAGGATTTTGAAGAACCAATCAAAAATAGGACGGCAATTGTCGCCACTGTGGTTTATTGACTCACTGTAAATGGAAAGAGAACAGGTAGATTTATTACGTGCTGAGTGTACTTCCGTCTCTTTCTCTCAGCTTGTTAAAGAAACAGATGGAAATAAATTTTCTTTGTACTAAGGGCGGGTATTTTGAAACTATTTTGACAAATAACTAAAATATTAGTTCTGGCCTGGATTCCGAACCCACGATTCGATAGTATCGTCTATATAAATATAGATATTCCGGTCTCTGGAATGACTATGAGATGTGAAGTCATTCCAGGAGTTAACTTGCAGTTATTTGTAAAAAATAATTTCATAATACCCGCCTGATTTTACCAACCGGAAACGCCATAAGACATAGGGAGGGGTTTCCGTTTCCGGCTTCTTGCTCATAAACGGTAAACGACTCGAGTGGTTTGTGGACGTGGTTTGCGCTTAAGCGGCTCAGGGTCATATTCGTCGATTTGGTAAGTTTGGGAACTAAATTAATTGATTATGCTGTATGTATGCATTTAATTTGCATAAATAACAATTTGGAGTATATTTATTTATTTGAATAAGAGGTGTATGTGTGGTTTATTGTGATAATTGCGTTTTACAAAATCAAAATGGCGGAACATCAAGGTAAAGGCACGAAAAGATAATGCATTTTGGCATCAATTATGGTTGTATCCAAAATATTTTTAGTCATTATCCAGCTCTGATAGTAAGATAAACCGCCGTGTGATTTTTATCTATACACCGCCTTTCCAAATGGCGGAAGTGGATTTATATTACACACTACGTTCTTGAACGCAACCATCGCCATAGCAACAAGTTGCATGTGTTTTCTGTTAGCAAATATTTTTGACATTTCAATTTTTTTCAATTTTATTTATTTTTTCCTAGTAAAATTCATATATTCTAGTGAAAATCATGTCTGAACCTGAACCTAAACCCGAACCTGAACCTAAACCCAAACCGGAACCTAAACTCCTGAAAACCCATTGGGGCGCTTCAAAGGAAGTTACGGAGGCTATTCTGGAATGCTTGGAGTCTGCACTTAAGAGACTGGTGGAATCACAGTCGAAGTCGTTGTTAAAGAAGTTCTTCACCAGGGATATAGTGGACAAACTGAAAATGAAGACTTCTAAATTCGGGGCCACACTGCAAGATTGCATTGATCCTGGTAAGTCGATCAAAAATTTACAATTTACAATACTTTCTGAATGCCATGGAACCGCAGGGCCTCCAAGAGGCTGTGTCAAGCTCCAGTGAAAAAAATAATAACGGGCCCCCTAATGCTCTGCAGGCTTTTTTTTAAAATCCCGTCTGCCTCTCCCTCTTGCCGGGCCTGCCTTAATAATCTTGTTTACTGAAAAACAGTTCTTAGAAACAAAAAAAAAACTGTGGAGGTCCTTCGTTCAACAATGATAAACTCACAAATAATACAAACCTGTTGAATCTCTTAGGATTTTTCTGCAGGAGTCTCGATAAATTAGATTTTCGAAAAAGCTACAAATTGATACACTCGTACGATTCTGAATTGACTTGCACGTCCTAGCAAAAGTTATAATGAAACAATGGGCAGATGAAAAGTCGTAGACAACGAGGATTATGTTCAAATCAGGCAAATAGAGACAATAATTACAGGAAAACGCGTAAGCAAGGACAAACACAATAGAGGAATGTGGAAAGTTTGTGAAAAGCTAGTACGTAGTGAAAGAAAAAGGACACTTTTAGGGCAGGGTTGTTTGTTGAGACCTCTTCTTTTGATATTGATGTTTGTGAACTGTGAGTTTATAAATATTTTTGCCAATGACACATTTTTGGCTTGCAGTGATAATGATCTCGGCAAAGCAATAGAAAAAATGAATGGGGTCTTGTCAGAGACAGAGTTATACTTGGGGAATAATAAAATGAAATTAAATGTATCCAAAACAAAAGCGATTATTTTTGCATCTAAGTATAGATATCAGGCCAGTGTAGACATCCTCAATTAATGATAGATTAGAGATGATTTAAATTCAAATTGTACATATCTTATATAATAATGTCCAGCGAGTAGTAACCGCTGAGAATTTTGTAGGTCTCGATTAGGTCACCTGTTTCTCTTTGTTGCTTGAGTGTTGTTAAATTGAATTTCTGTAGCCTGGTCTCGTACGGTAAGTGTCTAATCGCGAGTGAAATTTTAGTTATTCTATGTTGTACTAACTCCAAAAGTTTGATGTCTTTAATATAGTAAGGGTTCCACACTGTATGGCCATATTCTAGCTTGGGTCTGATGTAAGTAGTGTAAAGCTTTTTTATCATGCTAATGGAGTGGTTTGCAAAGGTTCACCAAGTAGGACATCTGGTTGGCCTTTTTTACTATGTGTCCTATATGTGCTTCCCATTTTAGATTGTTAGTTACATTTACACTCAGGTCCTTCTGTTCTTTTACATTTTTTAATTCTATGTTGTTGATTTTGTACTGAATCATTGGGGTTTTGCGGCCTATATGGAGCATTGCGCATTTTGCCTCGTTGAGCCTGAGTTGCCAGGTGCTTGTCCATTGCTCTATTATTTGTAGATCTTCTTGGAACAAGTGCATTTGTTGTAAAAAAATTTTTTTTCATCTGCAAAGGCTTCGATGTTTGTTCTAATACTTTTTGCCATGTCTGCTATGTAGATCAAAAAGAACATGGAAGCTATGACGGATCCTTGTGGTACTCCACTTGTGACTGTGGGGTCTGAGTAGGTTCCATTTGCTCTTACTTGGAAATGTCTGTCTTTGAGAAAGTTCTTGCTCCGCCGTAGGTAGAGGCCTCGGATTCCACAGTGATCCAGTTTGTATACCAGCCTTTCATGAGGAACAGTATCAAATGCTTTTTGGAAATCCAAGTATCCACTGGGTTCTCCTCATCAATATTTTAGTCCATGCTTTAACGCAATTTAGTAAATTTGTGGTAGTAGATCTACTTGGTCGAAAGCCATGCTGTGTGGATGGTATAATATGTGTGTCTAGGAGGAACGTGGTCATTTCTTTGACAATAATTTTTTCCAATAACTTACACAGTGTGCATGTCAGGCTAATTGGTCTATAGTTAGCCTGATTATACTTGTCGCCGCTTTTGTAAATTGGTATTACAATTGCTTGGGTCCATATTTCTGGTAGGATACCCTCTGCAAGGAAACTGTTGAATAGTGATTTTATAAGTGGTGTTATGGATGGTGCACAATTTTTGAATTTTTCAGAAATACTGCAGGTATTCCATCTGGTTCTGGACTGGAGTGAGTTTTTAGGTCTTTTAAAGCTTCGGTTACCGCTTCTGTGGTTATGATTATGTTTTTTAATTGGTCTTTGTTTCGTGTTTGTTGCAGCAACGAAGGAAAGTTGGATAATGATTCATTTGTGAAGACTGATTCAAACTGACTTGCAAAGATATCTGCAGTGTTTTTTGGGTCCCTCAATATCTGTTGGTCTTTTGAATCCTTTATCACGAGATCATGAAGCTGGCTACTTAGATTTCCCTTTATGTAGGAGTAGAAATCTTTATCGTTTTTTACCAGGATATCCTGTTCATATTTAAGACGTGCTTCAGTTAAGAATGATTTTAGTTTGTTGTTTGAGTCCTGTATATACTATGATATTTGTATACAAACATTTAAATAAGTTAGCACCACCTTATTTTGAACAGTTTGTTGTTTTTAATAGGGATATCCATGATTACCCTACAAGAAATAATGATCATCTCTTTATTCCAAGAACGAATTTTAAGAGTACAATGAATCCATTGTTTTTTAAGGGCTTTCAGGAATTTAATAGTCTTCCAAATGATATCAAGGGCCTTCCCTCAGTTCAGCGTTTCAAAGATGGGCTGAGGAATTACATTCAGGCTAAAGATTAATTAATCTACTATTGCATTTACCATCTTGATGTGATGGGTGAATCAGAGTAATGTGCTGCTATCCTCGTGAGGTTTCTACTTGTATTTTGTAGATAGTTGTATGTCCAATGGGCATTTTATCTTATATTGTATTTTTCGTGTACTTATATTAGGTGTACCAACCTATTTAATATAAATAGGTATATATAAAGATATATTTCATTCCATTTCATAGTTAAAGGTATTAGATCCCCGATCAGGGCCTGCATTCCAAACCCACGATTTGATAGTATCGTCTATCGAAAGATATGTAGGTACTTTTGCTCAAGTTTATTTGGCTTGTCGATAGACGATATTATCTGAACTGTGGGTTCGGAATTCTGGCTCAGATCTGTACAAACTAACGAAAGACCATGCCAGTATTTTTATAAATGGCAACAGAATAAGTAGAAGAAAGCAAATAGCAAATGAGTGACCGGCCAAAACTTAATTTATAGTTTTTCACCTATACAGAATAGTTATACTTGCATCTTGAACTTGCAACATATAGAAAGCTCTGAATCTAAAAACATTTTTCGTTAAATGTCAAATCAAAAAATACAAGAAATCAAATTTCTATTGACAAATACTGTAGTCCTTTCACCCGTTGAGTGGGGGTGCAAAAAGCCCTTTCAGGTAATGACGGTAATGTTAATTATTAAAAAATGATGATAAAATCTGTGTGTTTTGGAATGACTCCGAGGAGCTCGTTTGGTGTTACTCGATGTATAAAAGGAATACAGTAAAAGCTTATGTTTCCAATATTGTGAATTATGATTTATTTATCAATGTACACAAAAATACCAGGCGTAATCTTGTTAGCCCTTATTTAAAACTAAATAAACAATATGTTTCACACATGAATTATCCATTTCTAGGTGTAAACAATCTTGAGTTGGAAATTGGACTGACTGCTGTGGACCCTGACTGTTACAGAGTTTATGCAGACCTATTTGTGCCTATTATTGAAGCATACCATAAAATAGAAAAAGATACTCCACAACCGGGAATTGACAATTGGGGCTTTATCCCAGATTTTAGAAATGTGGACCCAAAGGGAGAACATGTTGTGTCGACAGGAGTGACGTGTTTCAGGAACCTGCGAGGGTATCCATTTAGTCCGCTTATGACTGATACCAACTTTAGAGACATTGAAGCTAAGTTGCTTATTGCTTTAGGGCAACTTTCTGGGGAATTGTCTGGGACTTACTATCCTTTGGGAGGTAAAAAATGTTTCTTTTTGTTCTGGTAGGTTAATAAAAGCCAATAAAAGAAAGTCAGTTAGGCCAATGCATTTTTTTAAACGTTCTCGTGTTGAATCTACCAGAATAAACTTACGCATTATGATTTTCAGATATACCAGAAAATGCCCGATACGAATTCATCGCTGAGAATTACTACAAGGATGGCAAACGTGTCATAGGATCAGCAGACAGTAACAGCTATTGGCCAAGCGGTAGAGGGCTTTACTATAATCCTATAAAAACCTTCATGGCTTATATTGGTGAGGAAGATCATATCATGCTAGTGAGCAAGCAACCAGGAGGAAATGTAGGAGCAGTCTTCCAAAGGTTGATAAC